CCCGCGGGCAGCGGACAGGGTTATCCGCTGCCCACGCGCTCCGCGGCTTGGCTCTGCTTTGCCCCCCGCTGTTGAAACTGATCAGTTTCAGCAGCGGCTGAATCTGGACGCCAGTTCCGACTTACATACAGATTCAACTTAAGAACAAACCTACAGTCCCTATCTTGTACGTAACCCGGGGACTGCCTGTACTGTATCCGTAACAGAAAAGACAGACCAGCAAATGAAAGGTATTTGGGCTTATTTGTCACAGTAACTGAGTTACTATTGACTTCAGTGGGAGCTGAGAGTTCTCAGTACTTCTGAAAATTCAGGCTCTTGGTGCATTTTGAATGGGACAGTGCACTATGTGGCAAAAAATGGGGATGGACTCCCTTTAACTTCTCAAAGGGTTGCCAGATAGTTTCAACAAAAATACCAGACATGCTTGATCTCAGATGCGGGCAGGGTTGGGGGTGGGGGGAATAACCGCAGGGGGAGCAGGGCTGGTGGGGGAGATCAGGGGGGCCCGGCCACTAGGGAGCAGGGCTGGTCGGGAGCGGGTTGGGGAGAGTAGGGCTAGCCAGGGGAGATCAGGGAGGGGATGTGTGAACCGACCGGCAGGGAGCAGGGTTGGCCAGGAGGAGGTTGGGAGGAGCGGGGAATGGGGCTGGTGGAGGAGATTGGGGGGGGAACCAGCCGGTGGGGAGTGGGGCTGGCCAGGAGGGGAGCGGGAGATGGGGAGAACCAGCCGGCAGGAAGCGGGGCTGGCTGGGAGAGTGTTGCGGGGGAGTGAGGCTGGCCAGGAAGGGAGCAGGGGAGGGAGGGAACCGACCGGCGGGAAGCAGAGCTGATCCGGGCACTTGCAGATCGCAGGGCACTGTCCATCCTGCACGTAGTCCTGGCAGAGCACACGGGCGAGTCTGGCCCCGGGGATTCCATCCCACCCTGCCCCCACTCTTCTCCCACTGCGTAGTTGCGTACTGCCTGGCTGGTAGACACACTCACACAGCGTGAGCATATCTACCAGCCAGGCAATACGCAATTACATACTGATACTCATGATAATAATAAAACTTACTTAATTAGAATTTATATGTCCGGTATTTTCTCAATTTGTTTTGCGGACAGAAAGCTCAAATATCGGACTGTCAGGTTCAAAACCTGGCAATCCTATTAACTTCACATCAGAGCTCAGGCATAGAAAAAATTAATTAAGGCAGGGATCCGATTGTACCCTCCACAAATAGGATGACGTGCACTTACTTGTTGTGAATGTGATGGGGGGAAACTACATGTCAATTATTCATTCAGACAGTATTTTTTACACAAGCCTAAATTTTCTAGGTGGAAATGGGCACATGCCAGAAAGGGTATGAGCATTTTTTAAATTACCGTATCTTGCTAATCTGCCAAAACTGTTCCACAACTGGCCATACTGAGTCAGACCAATGGTCCATCTAGCTCAGTATTAACTTCTGATAGTGGCCGGTGCCAGATGATTCAGAGGGAATGAACAGAGCAGGTTTAGGAGCATGGGACTGCATCCTTGACCACCTTGGCTAATTGCCATCGAGGGACCTGTCCTTCAGGAACATATATTTTTCTTTTTTGTGTCCAGTTATTTTTTTGGCATTCACAACATCCCCTGGCAATGAGTTCCATAGGTAGTCTGTGCATTGTGAGAAAATGCACTCGCTACTGTTTGTTTGAAATCTGCTGCCTATTAATTAATATCTCTACTTAAGCAAAATTTTGATACTGTTTCACATGACTTACCCATAAACAAATTAGAGAAATATAGCCTACATAAACCTACTGTTAGATGGGTTTACAACTGGCTGGAAACAAGTACTCAGAGAGTAGCAATTTGAGTAGGTTCCTGTAGGGATCTGTCCTGGGTCTGGTCTCAATCAATATCTTCATAAATGATTTAGAGTATGGTGCAGAGTGTACTCTTATAAAGTTTGCAGACTATTCCGAGCTGGGAGGGGTTACAAGTGCTTTGGAAGACAGGATTAGAATTCTGAATGATCTTGATTAAATAGAATGAAATTCAGTAAGACGAATGAAGGCATGAATAATCAGTGTCATAAATACAAAATGGGAAATGACTGCCTAGGAAGAAAAACTGCAGAAAGGGATTTAGGAGTTATAGTGGATAACAAATTAAAAATGGATCAACAATGTAACACTGTTGTAAAAAAAAAAAGAACATTGTTCTGAGATGCATTATTGGGAATATTGTAAGCAAAGACACAAAAAGTAAATTCTTGCATTCTGCTCGGCACTGATAAGGCCTCAACTGCAGTACGGTGTCTACTTCTAAGCACCATACTTTGGGAATGGTGGACAAACAGGAGAAGTACCGAGTAGAGCAATGGACATGACTAAAGGACTAGAACACATGACTTACCAGGAAAGACTGAAAAAAATGGGCCTGTTTAGTTCAGAGCAGAGAAGACTGGGGAGGGAGAGACATTATAACTACATTCACATAACTATCTTCCCCCAACATGTTTATCTATGTGCCTGACAATTTTGTTTTTTACTATAGATTCAGCCAGTTTGCCTGGTACTGAAGTTAGGCTTACTGACTTGTAATTGCTAGGATTGCAGCTGGAGCTGGGGTTTTTTCTTTTCATCCACTTTGGAGAATAAGTATAATCAATGATTTCATTTAGGTTTTAAAATGTAAAAGCCTTCTCAATGCCATTCTAAGACAGCTCAGTGAGTGAGAGACATTTTCTCTTTTACTTTCCTTCCTCTACCCCTAGCTGGAGGGTCAGTGCAAGGAACTACACAATGACAAACAAGAGACCAAAGTGGAGAACACCAAGCTGAAGCTAACAAACCAAGAGCTTCTGCAGGAACTGGAGCGAACGTCTCAGGAGTTAATAATTGCACAGCAACAATTACAGATGCTCCAGGAAGAGGCATCAAAACTACAGGAAGAAAAAGAAATGTAAGTGACATCTGTTTGTGGCACCAGGAGGCTTGCTTAAAGTAACAGCAAGCCTGATTCTCCATATGCACTGCACCTTGGCCAAAACGCATGTGATGCTGATGGAGTCTCACATCCATGTTAATGCTGTAGGGGAGCATGTATATGCGAGGTCAGACCCATGCCAGAACCACAAAGATGGTTACATATGGGACAAACAAGATTGTCCACAGCCATTGCAAGGTGTTGAATCTTTGCTTTGGCCTGTTTCCATTTTTCAGGTAAGGTGTTAATGTACCTTGCTTCAAAATGGTTAATGGCAACATGACAAATCTGCTGCCTCCTGGTTCTGTTGTGGGCTTTGCTTCCCTGGAGAACAACCAGACGTACTGTCAGGTTTGACTTCAGTGTACTTTTATATCTTTGTATTTGCCACTGTGATGAATGGGTGCTTGATTTTAGCTAACCATGCAATACAGCTATGGATAGTCTCAAGCTGATCATATATATGAGATGCGCATTCCAACTCAGCTGTGCTTTTATGAGTGTATTTTGAATGCCAGACATCCAACAGTGATTGAGAATTGTAAAAGCACTACCAAAACCCAACTTCAATTTTTTCCCTTAAAGAAGCAAATTCTTAGTGCTATGCATTAAAACAGACACCATTACTAGTATTGCACACCATAGCATAGTGGACCTGAACTGTGCTACAGCTGGCACAGCTTAAGAAGAGGTGTGCAAAACTGTCATCTATTTCTTGATTGTATTGACTGCAGAGGAGTAGAACAAGGCCTGTGCAACACTTAGGTCCATTGTAAGGAATATTTAGTAGGGCTAGTGAGAAAATTCCTACTGAAACTATTTTTCATCAGAAAATTGGCTTTTCATTGTAATAGAATTTTCATGAAAACTGTCTGCTCTCTGCAGAAAAATTCATTTTTTCATGGAAAAACGACAACTGAAACACCTGATAACAAAGAGGCTTTTTTGGGGGGTGAAGTGGGGGTGAGATGGGGAGGCTGAAGAGGGAGCTGAAAACTGAATATTTCTGCTGAAATTTGTTTGAGAAATGCCTCTTGGTTCCCCATGGGAATTGTAGTCCAGCTGCCTTAGTTTTCCATTCTCCTCTATTGGTTGGATTTTTTGCTCATACTACTATTACCATGATTCATCATGGCTATGGGACTGCCATAGTGTACCACCTTCCCTAATCAAGAGAGGAGACATGGTGCATCGTGCAGAACTGAGTACAATCCGGGAGTACAGCCAATAGAAGAAAATGAAGGCATTTGAACTACAGTTCCCAGGAGGCATTATGGCAGCATTTCAGAATTTCTGTTTTCAGCTGAAATATTTTAGATTTCTTTCTTTCTTTCTTTCTTTCTTTCTTTCTTTCTTTCTTTCTTGCATAAATCTCAAAATTTTCTGCAAGGAAAAAACATTTTCTAGCTAGATCTGTTATTTAGGAAATGGAAATTGGATTGAAGTGAAACACAAGCCTTGTGTTGTACCTCTGCAGTGGAGTAATTATACCTTATTGCTGGACCCAACTTCTGCTCCTGAGCACTTGAAAATCTGGCTCTAAATGAAGACCAGCTGCAGGCCTCAAATTCTCTTTCCATTACCATTTATTCCTAATGAGTCTTACCTCCCACTAAAAGTCACAAAGAACCATCAGAAAAAGTATGCACATTGCTAACCTGAATTGAATTCAGAATTAGGAGAAGATTAATGATTTCTAGAAATCCAATAATTACAGTGGCAGATAATTAATTTGGTAACAGTGAGAACTCAGTACCTTTCCACATAGGGCATCATCTTAGACCAGACAAGGTTTCCTCTATTTCGATGGCCATTGCACAAAACTCTACGTAGCTATTGCTAGATTAATCTGTCATGAACATATGAGGAGTATTTCTTTGATTATATGTAACACCTACAGACCCTAACTGTTGGTGAGCAGAATGAAGCTGAGTGCATGAACCTCTGCTGCATGAGCTAAAAGTGACAAGGCTCTTTGCTAAGGCTGTAGCAGACACCTTTATCTCAAATGATCTTAGTCAACCACACCCAGGAGGTCTGTGGGTTACATATGACCACCCAAAGCTGAGCCCATTTCAAACACAAGGGCCAGATCCAGTTTTCAATACTGCCTTGATTTTACATGTGTATGTTTCATTTATAGTTTTGAAGGGAACAGTGGAAATATTCCCCCATCCTGAACCATTTCCTGTTTGAGGGGCCTCACTTTTGAGCCACAGAGCAAAGGCAGTATCGCTATCCGTGTCTGGCTTTTCTAAAGGAAGTGAGGAAACCAGCAGGAAATCAGTAAGGTGGTGTCTCGGCAGCTCTCCATTCTTGTGGTTAGGCTGCTGAATGATGGTGATCATTTTATATTTGCAAAGCACATTTTATTCCAAAGTACTTCATGGAATTGGTGCTGGATTATACCTAGCTTTCCCTGCAGTGCCCCCAGGGTGGCCGGTGACTATAAGGCACAACTGAGCTATCAAAAGCTGATCTACTCTTCAGACCACACAAGTAGCCCTTCCACACCATTGAAAAGCAGAAAACAACATGGACTAGACTCTCCATTGGTGCAAATCCATGCAACCCCATGGAAATCAGTCAGATTATACCAAATTACATCAGTTGATGATGTCGCTCCATGTGTTTAATGCTGCACAACCATTTTGGTCAGGAAATGGAGAGGAATAATGTATCCAATAAGGAAAAACTGGGTTAATCAAATCCCATTACCGGCACTGAAACTTGGTCAGCATTGAAAAGTTAATCCCTCTGGTCTCATGATAACTTTCATAGGATCTTTAATAATCACAAGCAATTAGGGCCTTAGTTTTAAGTCTTAGCTGAAAGACACCAGCTCCAGCATCCCAGTGTAGTAAACAGACTGGATGAATATTCTAAACCTGACAATCTTTGAACTCTTTGATACTTGTCATTGATAGACCCCAGCCTAACAAAAAAAAAAAAAAAGTTAGAATAAGCATAGCATGCACTCCTTACTGTGGCAGAGCCTCACTGATGACCGTGATGGGTTAGCCACAAAACTGAGTCTTAAGTAGCATTTTTTCAAGGGTGGTAGGAAACAGCCTATAATTACTATGATCAAATGCCTGTGACAGATATATTTCTTTGTTTCCCTCTGTTTTAGGGAGGTATACAGAGTGACAGAAACTTTACAGCGAGAGAAGTCAGGACTCCTTAAACAGCTGGATTTCTTAAGGTAACACACACAATCATTTGCAGGATTTCTGGCACTATCATTATGAAACTATATTTTTATTTTAAAGCTCTTGAACTGGGACCCCAAACCGAGCAGAAATGTCATTTGTGGGTTAACCCAACATATGCACATTCCTCAGTGGGCTAGAGAGAGTGGAATATCCTTACATCATGTGTTGTCAGGGCATGCTGCATTGTGGCTATTGTGTGCTGTGCCCTGGGCTCAGGAGATTGAAAGGAGGCTTACAGCTCTTTTTTGCCTTTCATTTCCTCATCAGGGGCACCTCATCCAAAATAGAGACTATTCGTTTTTTAAAAAGGTCTGGTTGGTTTTCTGCCTAACATTTTTATATGAGTGTAACTACAGCATTGGAAGTTATTTCGTGGCACTGTTTAATGTGAAATAGTATCTAACATGCATATTATCACCTCATTTTTGTTACTAGGTTATTCAATGTATATAAGCTAATTCAACCTGAGTTTGACCCATGAATACTCTTTCATCCATTGTTCAATTAAAAATATTTCAGATGGGCTCACCCAGGGTCCCTGCGTAGTCTGAGACCCACTGTTGGTTTGCAATGCATTGCCAATGGATAGCACTTGGTCCCCCTCTAGTGGTGGCTGGGTCACAGACAGAGGTGGATGAGCCTGCCAGAGCTCTGGCTAACTGCCCTGCGTCTTTCTGTGAGCCAAGACAATAGCAAACCCATTCAACACTTTATGTGGCCCAGCCACCATGACAAAGTGTCAGAGTGCCTGTCAGAGCTGGGGTGGCATAGATCTGCAGAGAGCTTGCTTGTCACATGCAGTGCCTCTCCTGCATTATTTCCAGAGGCTAAATCACATTAAGGAAAACTAAACACAGCTTCTTAAAGCTGCTCTTCTACATCAGCAATCGTGGTAGTTGGCACAGGGACTTTACATGGTCATGACAGGTCTTTGCAGCTGTGGCTCAGAGGGAGCGCAACAAATAATCTCTCTATTAAGGTCTGATCCCAACTATAAAAAAAATTGAAACCAGATTAAATGAAGAAATATTCTTCCTAGTTTGTTTCCGCATGTTAGAAGCTTTTGCTTTGATGTTTATACATTGAGGGCCAGATGGTCTAAATTAGTGTAGCTCTCACTGAAGAATTACACCAGCTGGGGATCCGGTCCTGTGATAATATAGAGATGAGTTAAAATAAAAAATAGAAAACAGCAGAATAAAGACAATGGACTTCAAGAAGGCAGGTTTTATCAGACAAAGAGAATTGATCTAGTGGGAAGCAAGTCTAAGGGAAAAAAGAGTTTAGGAGAGGGTGGTTGTAGAATTTCCATCACTGGAGGTTATTAAGAACAAGTTAGACAAACAGGGATGGTTTAGATCACGGCTAGTCAATACATGGCCCGTGGACGGCAGTTTGGGTTTATGAGGGGCTCAAAACATGATCCGGGGATAGGGTCCTTTGAACAGGGCCTCCACTGGGAACACGCTCCACAATGGCAAGGCATCTCCCTGGTGGGGTGAGCATTGAAAGACACAAGCGGATGGGCTAGCTGGAACAGAGGGGTACAGGGTGTCGGCGTTTCTAGCCTCCAGAGAGGAGGTGCTGGGAGCACCGGGGCATTGTATGAAAGAAGCTATTTGCATATATTTGCATGTATTTGCAACCACACTTAAGCTGCAGCCCTCAGCATGTGCTGTGAGTATCATTGTGGCTCCTGGGACTTCCAAAGTTGAGTAGCCCTGGTTTAGATAATACTTAGTCCTGTTTCAGAGCAGGTGACTGGACTAGTTGACCTATCGAGTCCTACACTGCTGTGATTCAATGGAGAAATCTCAATATACAGCTATATTAAAGACATAGTACAGTAAAGAGCCAAAGGTCTGGCTCCTTTAATGTTGAATAGTCAAGCAAGCACAGATTCTAAATTTCTACCATAGTTTGCTGATTCTTTAACTTGTTTCCTTCCCTTCCAGAGAAAAGAACAAACATCTCAGAGATGAACGAGACATGTTTTTCCAGGTAAACAAATACCATGTTTTTAATTTTGTCATGCAGCAATTAAGAAGGGTGTCAGAAATAGGACCTGGGGGCAAGAGACACATGTACTATTCCTCTTCCCTCACATGCTAGCTGTCTTCCCAGTTAAAAGCAAGACTTCTGGCAACAAAATGTATTTATTAAATAAAACTAAAAGCCATTGGAAGCCCAATATGTAGGATACTAAACTCAAGCTATTTTAGGGTCAGGGAGTGATTACTGAAGAACCTAGTTTATAAAAAGCAAAGGAGACAACATAAAAACATAAGACCGGCCATACTGGCTTAGACCAAAGGTCCATCTAGCCCAGTATCCTGTTTGCCGACAGTGGCCAATGCCAGGTGCCCCAGAGGGAGTGAACCAAACAGGTAATGATCACACAGGTAATCATCTCTCCTGCCATCCATCTGCAACCTCTGACAAACAGAGGTCTATGGACACCATTCCTTACCCATCCTGGCTAATAATAAGGAGGTAATTAGATAATCTTCAAATGGAACAATTACAATTCAATTGCATTTATCCAATCCATAGCAATCTCTTTGAGCATTTATATATCAGTGTAGCATCCGAGTCCTGAACACAGATCATTCTAAGACTCCTAGCTCCTGCTCAATGGACACAAGTCAATCCCATTGACTTTGTATCCTGCAGAAGGAGATTAGATCCCCAGGCCCTGAGAGATACCATGGCTTCCTTTTCTCTACTAAAGATCATTCAGGAGTATGAAGTTCAGTCTTTTGCAGAGGTGGCCTGTGTTTCCTTTCTCTAAAAGAAGGAGTGATACTGGATCAGATCAGCAGCTGGTATAAACCAGCATAGCTCTGTTGATTTCATTTATTTCAGTGACATGAGGCTGATTTACATTAGCTTATGATCTGGTCTACTAGGTCTATAAGGAAGATTAATTGCTGAAGGATCTGGATTTTTCATGTGCTTTTTATTTATCACTCCAGGTTTTGAAACATTTTTCTCTCTGCTAATCCATCAATTTCTTTCTGTCACTCCCATCACTGTATTATCTAAACACTAGCAAAAAATAAACTGTTTTTATTAACCATAACAAATAGCAAGAGTACATTAGTAAGATAAATAATATGTTTCTGCAGAAATGTAAAACGAATGCTCCAAAAGCCAACTGGAACCAAAGATCAGGATCTATCATTGGCAAATATGTAGAGGGAAAGGCCTCACTTAAGAGGTAAGGACTTCATTTTGCTATTTGGCATATTTTGGAAAGTGATAGGGAAAATGCACAAAAGATGTAGAATGCATATTTCACCATGATTGTTCATGAAGCCACTACAGCTTGGAATGGCTAGTGTAATATCGATATTGTATGAACTACTAAGGTGCCAATCAGCACGTCATCTGAGTCTCTGTGATGGGGCAGACAGGCCACACTCTGGCAACGTGGGGCTTAATGAGGCAGAGAGACTGCACACCTGCCACAAAAGGGTTAAGGAAAGCCTGTGATCCAAATGATCCCCTTCCCTCCACTCCCCCACAGCTGGCCAATGCGAGGTGTGAGGAGGGAGTTAAAAGGATGACATCTAGCCTGCGTGAGGCCTGACCAGGAAGTAGAGCAGACCTCTGCTCCTCCCCTCTGCACGGCAAGTCCGAATGCAGTCGAGGGCATAAGGCAGCTTGCTAACTGAATGAAGCATTTGGAGGATGGATTGACTAGGCCTCGGAAGATGGGCAAGAAGGGACTAGTTGTGCAAAGGCAAGCCAGGTACAGAAGGGTAGCATCCTGCCAACAAATCTTCAGATGCATCTGATTTTTAGTTCACAGTTTTCCTTTTAGTTTTGTACCCTAACACACTGGAAGTGGTAGGACTCCTATGTGCTTCAGCAGGGGCTGGGGTTAAAGCACCATGGCAGCAGATGTGAAAGGAGTGACAGATCCTGCAGTAGGAGAGTCCTGGCCTGACAGGCTGCCTAGTCCAGTGGATCCCAACCTTTTTAAACCACGGACCAGCAAACTCATTCAAAAACTTTTGGTGGACTGGCACTGAAACATGTGCATATCTGTTATGGTAATCGATTTATTTCCATATTTCCATATTCAGTACGGGAATTAATTTTAAGGAATCACGTGTTATTTTACAGTGAATCTGTACGCACACAATACGTGTCATTGTGTGCATGGGAAGATTAAAATCATACATTGTGAAAGAGATGGCAGGCTTTGCAGAATAGTTCTGGTTTTCACTAATTTTTGGAGAGAGGCAAAGGGGTACAGCAGGCAGGGCAGGAGAATGGGGGCTGTGGCCAAGAGGAAGAAGTGAAGGAAAGAAAAGAAAAAGGGGAACCTAGCCGGGGAGAGGCTGGGCTGAAAGCAGTGGGCACTGACTCTGTCTTGAAGGGCCTCTCCCACCTTGTTCCCTCACCCCACCCCAGGGGGGCTCCGAGCCAGACCCCAGTGCTCAGGGCAGCTGGGTGGCCCTACTCAGCCATGCAGCCCAGCAGCCCCGCTCTGCCATGTGGGCTGGCTGCCCCCTCAGCATCCCCGGCCCCCAGAGCAGCCA